ATTAGGGATAAGGATGACATATTGTCGAACGGTTTCCAACCATAATGTATATAAGATAACAAAATCACCTTCTCTCTCTCTCTCTCTCTCTCTGTCTCTTCGATCTCATTCCGACTGTAGGCTTTGGGACACCAACTGATTCGATTAAGGGGAGAAACGGTCAATTAAGAGAAAGGCGGTGGGAAGCATCCAGAGTCGGTGAAGGGTCGTGGATTAAACTAACCTCGGTGGTAACCAGAGGAAATCAGAAGCAGAGAAAATGGAGGGCTTTATGAAATTGAATTAGAAGAGTCGACCGACAACCACATGGTAGCGGTGATATATGATGAAGACGACAGATTTTTAGAGAGAAACAGTTACGGAGATGGTGAGGCTGAAGAAGTAGTAAGAGATGGCGGAAGGGAGAGGGATTAGGGATATTACTGATCGAAGCATCGAGAAAGCAGGAGAGTACCCGAGTTATGAACAGTACCGACTCGGGTACCGTTCATAAGGTCTTCCTTTTTTAATATATATAATATATATATATATATATATATATATATATATATATATATATAATAAAATCTTCATACATAATATTATTTAATAATATATAATATGTCATCTCCAATTAAGTTTTAACAAAAAAATGGGTTTGACTTTAAGAAATAGTGGTTTTGACTCGATATTTAGGGTATCAGGTATCATGACTACATATTTACTAGTAAAATACATGACACATCATCTGAATATCCATTTCACTACATGTCTACTAGCTTTATGGGTGGTGTTCACTACTAAACATCTAGTGAACAAGCGAGATAAAGATAAAGAGATATAGAGAAAAGCCAATGAGAGCTTCCAGCTTTTGCTCAGCCAATAAGAGTCTCTTTGATCCTCCATGATGCATACCATCCACATCACAACCACTATCCCCTAGGGCAGTGTTTTCACTAGTGAGGATATATGCCACATTAGCATTTCACGTGTGGGAATTCTACCATACCCTAAGGCCTGAGGTGTGAAAATAAGTGGCGTTAAATCAGAAAAATAACTAGAGAAACCAAGTGAATAGTAACCAAATGTTGACATCTTTCCATAAGGTCGTTAGGTGTCGTGCAATTTTTATCGTCGATATGCTGATTTGACAATCTTTACCGGCAGTAAACATCGCCCCTCATCCAAATATTTTGTCGGCAATAATCTTCACTGGTACACCTCTCTCTCTCTCTCTCTCTTCCTTTTGTCTGTGGTAAACACAAACACCACACTGTAATCGTTTTAAAAAATGACAAACATGGAAAACATGTCCCCATCGGCCTAGGTGACACATATTACCGGTGGTTTGACACAATTTGGTCTAAGATATTTGGTATTAGGATAGGAGGAGTGGGCGGTAAGTTGGCTCGGCAAAGGAGGAAGTGGAGCTGACTCGACACACCCCACCCTCTTATCTAGGCACAATAAAAATTCTTCCCTCATAATAATAATAATAACTAGATGTGTTCCCCCGCGTTGCGGGGGTTGGAAGGTGTTGTTTTTGTGTACATGTATAGTAGATGGTCTTAATTGGTAGCCACAGTTAAGTATGTTGCTATTCTCTGCAATTCGCCCTTTTACAATTTTGATGCTTAAAATAATAAAAATAAAGAACATTGCCCTTTGCAGAAAAAAGGATCCAAATTACATAAAGCTAAACATTAAAATGAAAATACATTGCTCTATTTTTAGGTTTTTTTGTTCTAAGATATGCAAAAACACACACTTAACATCAGTCTTGCTGACGTGCACTTGGCAGACTCATTAGTTCTTGACGCATCTCATTAAATGTGGAAGAGCTACTGCCATTCAAGTCTGTTCCCACCACTGATTTCTTAACACTTCTTGAATAAAATCAACTGTGTGAATTTTTACTGTTTATATTAAAAATAAAAATAAAAAGAATTTACTTGAGTCGTAGCGGTTCTTGTCCATTTAAATCTTCTTTCATGTTCGGGTTGATCGATTCCATATTTAGCGGGGTCTCTAGCTGCCTCAGAAATAGCTTTCTCTAATTTATTCACCTTCCTATCAGCAAAATAGATTTTCAGCCTACATTCTTAAATCTTTTATGGAATAACAAATTCTATGTTCAGATGCATACCTGCCATTCAATATATGAATATATGCAAATAGGCTTAAACCCAACTGAAAGTTGACTTACCAACGTTAAGCCTTGTGCATGCATCCTATAGTGGCAAACAAATACATATAAAAATGACCAGAGATAAATATAAATTGTTTAAATGCTTCAATATAAATTGTATGTCTAACGCTACGCTTAAATGCAGCTCTCTTAGCACTTGTGTAAGCCATTGATGTAGCAACTGTTGTTGCCCAAATGGTGCCTACATATACATTTTTATCAAGACTCCATTATATTTTGTCGGTTTGATTATTCAAAAAATCAAATCTTTCATTATATTGAATAAAAGTTAAAGTTTATAAATTAAACTAACCAATGCTGGCGAGCTTGTGGTTTGAGACCCAAGATTGCAAGCCTTCCATTTGACCTGCATCATACTTCCAATTTTTTGCTTCATAATATATAATATGAATAAACAAAAAGTAGAATGTCATTAAATTTTTTTTAACTGTTAGCATGTTAACAGGATGGACAGGGGGCAAATAGACCAACTGTTATCAAAGAGAAAATGGTCGACCAGTCATTTTATGACAAAAAAAAAACTTTTCAATCATGTAATTTAGCCACTGAACTATTTTTTTTAGATTTTAATCATAATAGTTATGTGGCTAAATCGTCAAAAACTAAGAGTTTAATGAGTAAATCAATAAAAAATTATTAGTGTAGCGGCTTAATTAGTAAATAAAATTTTTAGACGACAAAAAAAGTATTAATGGTAAAAATAAGTTGCTTTTTTTGTAATGTTTATAATATCAAAACAGGCCAATTTTGAGACAGTAAAATAAAGTATAATAAAACAGGTAATGGCAAAATCGATAAGATTATGAAAGTACATGTGTTTTTTTTTCCCAAAAATATAACAATACCACTATCAACAGTCCATTTTGATTAGTATAAATTAGAAGGTAGAAGGTAATATGTTTTCAAAAGCATACCTTTAAACCCATGACTTCAACTTCTTCCTATTTGAGATTTCTATCATCAATGTTTAACACATGTGAAAGTCGTGATGGAAGTATAGAGAAAAGGTGGGTAAGGGTAATCTTGTCATTTGGCTTTAGCTAATCATTTTGGCAATGTCAATGAAGCCTTCATTCCTAGCCTTGTAAAGAACAGAGCATATAAAAGACGTAATAGGAATCTTTTTGAAACATGTATGTTTTTTAAAAAAAATTGATACTACCGTTATAATATTACTTCGATTTGAAATATAATTAATTTATTATAATATGTTCATTTGTAACTTTTTTAAAATAATAAACAATAAAACCTTTTCTTTTATATTTAAAAAGATAATAAATAAAAAACACTCACCATTAAGTTCCATTTCGTTTGTAGTCTTCCCCAAAACTCCATTACCAATTTGTTGTCCTAGACTGTTAGCTTCTATATAAGCAAAACACACATCTGGGAACAATCCAATTCCATTTTTTGGCATTGCAAGAACACCTGTCTGGTAAGAAAGAAAAAAACTCATAAATGTATGATTTTGAGTTTTGATTTAAATATTTAATGCTAAAATGTTGAGTTTGCTCGTGTTATGATTTTGTAGTGGGTATGATCAGATACACCATTCCGAAACCCCATTGTTACGCTATCCATGACGGTTATACATAACATTTCTTTTTTGAATTCCAATTGGTGCTTCAAATAGAAGTCAGTATAATGGAACTTGTATATACACAAAGCTTAGGGTAGTGAAAATTCATGTACAATGGTTACCTATATTCATGACATTGAGAGGTTTTCTAAAATCGAGGGTGATAACAACTCTTATGTTTGTTAATATGTTCCATTTGACAAAGCCCTAGAAATATAGGAGTCAAACACAAAAAATTGAAATTGAAAATAAAATTACAATCGGGGATGGTAAAAAAGCGAGTAAAAATTAGAAAATGAAAGAATAAAATTTTTATTCCCGATGGAGTTACCTTTCCGTTCACATTGATGATCCCGCACCTCTATCCGTTTATGTTCCCTTCATCTACATCACAGATTCACCTGGCTATGCTAGCTACCACCAACACAGGTAAGAGTCGATGAGCACTAAAGCATATTGAAAACAGGTAAAAGCCAAACATGGGAGTTTTAGACAATCTCAAAAAAGAAAAGGAAGACCATATATTAATATATCAACAATCATCAGTCCATAGCAAAGATTATGCTTTCCAAAACCCAAAATTGAAAAGAAATTAGGGCTTACATCAACAAATTGATCAGCATCCTGCTACATCAGATCGAACCTAACCACATCGCCACTCGAAGCATAACTGTAGTTGCACCGGTAATGGAAGCTGTGGAGAAAGCATTGTCTGCTTTTTGAAGAAGGATCGACATCTCTGATTTTGGCATGTTAAATCAGTGGTGCTCTACAGAGAGGTTCAGGAGAGCGAGACGGAAACTGAAATAGGGAAACCGGCGGCGAAACGACACCCTTCATACATCACACCTCAAATCTCGCAGTCATTAACTTCAGCCACCACAGCAGCCAACGTCGTCGCACCATCGCCAACAAAAGCACATGTGTGTGTTGTTGCTTAGCAGAATCGATAGATGAAGGAAGCCGAGTCCATAGGAGTAGAAAACGGTGGTTCGAGAGGAAGCGGTGGGAAGCAGGTGGTATAGGGAGGGCACGAACAAATCCACATAGGCCAAGCGTTTACTTGACAAACGGACTTTACTCCCCATCTTCAAGGACCGGCTGTTGGCTACCAATTTCTCTGTGCCTCTCTTCCTGGCTCACGATCGCGAACACACACAATGGGTTGTATGTGTGTTTCCCCTGGTGCTGAATCCGTAGGCTGGATACAAACATATACACCTTTTTTGTATTTTAATCGTTCATCTGGGTAGAAGTTGAAAGATTGAGAACGGGATTGACAATGAAGAGGGTCTGATTTGTTGTCGGCGACGGAAAATCGAGTCTTTTTTGAACACACATATTAGAAAACTTAGAAGGTGGAGATGGAGCGAAAGCTACAAACGAATCTGGGAAAAGCCCTCCATCAGACGGAGCGGTGAGAATAAGAAAGAGATGAGGTGGTTTTTGGTGAATCAAGAATGCGTCGAATAGAAGATAGGGAAGGAATACAGTTGGATTTGAAGTGTTGTAAGTTAATTGGACGGGGGAGGCGGTGAAAAGATGAGGATGCATAGAAGACGGACAGGTAGCTTGCATCTTGATGAGTCGCGCTCCTTTAACAATTGACCATTGACCAGAGATATTGACCACACTTTTAGATGATTAAAAGTGATAAAATTCACAAACATAAAAAGTCCAGGGGAGAAAACGGAAAACAATACCAAAATGGTCAATAAAGAAAATAAGTGGATCAATTTTGCCAAAACATTAGGAACTTCACTGTTCCTAACTTTCATTTCCTATATATATATATATATATATATATATATATATATATATATATATATATATAATATATAAAAAACAAATAATAATAATAATAGTAAAACACAAGCAATTATAAAAAATATTATTTGTGAAACATTTTAGAACCAAATACTACAATCTTTTTACATATAAACAGACAAATCACAACTTAGGGTACTCGTGTGAATCTTAATATGTTAATTTATCATATATGAATTATAAAACTGATTTTTTATACAAAGGTCATATTAAATAGCATATATTCATATTACTATTAAAGTTCTTATTAAATAACATAAATTCACATTACATAAGCAAAATTTGAAGTTTTGAATTGTGATTAGCTCTGAGGTTTTATCTACTTTAACCAATTAACTATGATTAGTTATTAGTCAAAAAAGCATAACTTTAAACATCATAAGGCTAGAGGGAATAAATAATGACATGTCATGCTGCCACATCATCTTTGAAACCATACAATAGTTGTCATGTTATTTTTTCTATACAACATAAATGACATGAGTTTTTTAGGGGTGGATCAACTTGTCAAAATGGCATGTTATATTTTCTAACATGCCAATTTGCCATGTCATGTTTGAGGGACGGTGTTTGTATGACATGTCAAGCCTTTTTGCCAACCACTCCCCAAGCCTAAGTGGATTTTAAAAAATACCTTAACGGTTAAACCTGATAAAGGTCCTTAACGTTAAAACATTTATCATTAATTCCTTTGTTCGTTTACAATTCATTCACTTGTAGTATGTTTATATATATATATATATATATATATATATATATATATATAATATATATATAAAAGTTCTTTTGAAAACCTAAAGATTTATGTGAATTTGAGAGCTATCAATTCAAACATCACTTTTCAAAACCAAAACCACAAATATTAACGAAATTATGCGTTTAATCCATTTCTAAGCTCAAAAAAAGATTTGACAATATTTTTTGCCGCTGACGATTTTTTTTACTGCTGATTCATATATAATATGCATGCATGCATTTTGAATAAGCAGTCATATGGACTGCGCACGCGTATATGACTGATGATTCAAATATATGCATGCATCATATATATGAATCAGAAGTCATATGAACTGCGAGTACATGCTTATTTGCAGTTATATGATTGCGGACGCGTATTCTCAACTGCTGATTTTGGAGTTTGCAGGTGCGCACAACTTTTTAGGTTCGCACAATAACTCAGTTTTTTATATATATAGATATATATATATTATATATATAGATATATATATCTATATATATATATATATATATATAGAACGAGGTGGCAATGGTGGTGGAGGTGATGGTGGTGGTGGCGGTTGTGGTGGTGGGGAAGCTGGCAGGGGAAAAAGGACCAACGACGTTGAATAAAAATTTATGATTATAACTCTGCCGCTGCACTGGTTCGTCGAAGCCTTAGAGCGGAAAATGAAAAAAATATATGGATGAGATTCAATATTAAAACCTCCATTTTTTTTATAATCTCAACTTTTATATATATATATATATATATAATATATATATATATATATATATATATATTACCACTACCATATGCTAAGATATAATTTCAAGTGCCATTGATTTAGAAAAAGGATATTAATACTATAGTGCTCCACTAACCATAATCATGAGTGTCTCTTTGATATTTTCTATAATTTCTCAAAAGAATTACCCCATTAACTGCTAAAACAAATAAGTATTTAAAGAACTTGCCATTTACTATTACTTTTAATAATTGATAATCACATATCTAAAGTTCTATATTATTATTTAATATCCTAAATCTTAAATAAAAATGATAAATCACGCTAATATTAATTTAGTTTTATCAAAATATAATAAAAAAAATTCAAAAATATACATGAACTCAGTACGTAAAGCTTGAAATAACAGTTGTAAATAGGTTAAGAAATCACTACATGAGCAAAGGAATTAGATTTGTTAAAATGGGTTTTAGAAAATTCCTTTAACAAAAGCTTAGTAAAAATTACTTTTTTCGACTAATGAGTTATGATTTACGCACTTTGTAAAGAATTTGAGGTTATAGAGATGTTCAGATTCAACATCAGCCACATATTAACCTTCCGGCGTACCAGCGCGACGTACTTGTTATAATCATAAATGATTACATAGCACCGTCCGTTCCTTTCACCTCCGCCACCATCCCCACCACCACAACCGTCACCGACACCACCATTACCACCACCTCTGACACCAGCCGACCCCACCACTGCCACCCCGTCACTTATACCACCGCCACCTTTGCCATCACCATCTCTTTTGCCACCTACTGTCATAATCATATATGATTACTCAATCTGTGAACAAACATATATGTATTATTATATAATATTATCATATATGATTATACATTTCTGTCATATAATCATTTATGATTAGGCATATCTCGCTGCTGCCGGTACGCTGAAACGTTAGAGCGACAAATGAGACAGATGTGACTGAGGTTGAATCTCAAGATCTATATTTTATTTTTAATCTCAAGTGAACCGTCTCATATATATATATATATATATATATATATATATATATATATATATGTCAACAAACATATATTGTGTAACTGTGAAATTAATTATCGACCAATCATTATATATTCATTTTTTTTTATTTAATTTTAATTTAAAAAGGGTTCATTACTCATTTTACTCAATATAGAATCATGTAATCTCTTCTCTCTTCCTAATAAAAACCTCTCTAAGGTGCCATATGGCTTTTTTGTACGTCTCTTCTTTGCCACGCGGCATCTACTCGTAAGTCCTTCACTTTTATTCTCGCCTATTCCTTCAAACTAAGTTACGTACTGAGATCTCGCCTGCTATCTCTTTTTATCTTGACCTAGCCTTCTTTCAAACTAATCACCCCTTAAAATCAGCATTGTTTCAATCGATACATAAATGCCAAGATTTGATGAAGGAAATAGGGAGAAGTTTCCAACTAAGAAGCCCCTAATGTAACATCCGGATTTCCAGGAGGTGATTTCAGCTTGGAGGAGACCAAGGAGGTTGTGCATCTGGGGATTTCGAGCAAAAGACTTCATCTTTGAGGTATTATGTCGCCCCTTAATCTGTTTTGTTGAAGGAACCCATAGATGTAGAGTTTTTATGTCTTTTATTGGAAGGAGTTGTGAGAATATGGCCCCTATTCATTTTGAGACTTCGGATCTGGACCCATAGTGGTCTAAAGAGCTTATTCCAGCTTGCTTTATGTTGAACTATGGAGGCAATGAGCTTAGGTTGTTATGTTTGGGGCTAAATCACCAAGTAAAGCCTCCTAGACGTCACATGAGAGTCAAGATCCAAGCTTTACGTGATTATCAGGCTTGGGAAGGTCAGATCTATGGTTCTAAGGAACAGATCTGACCTCAGGAGGTCATTTGAGTTTGTGCATGACATGAACTCGCCGAGTCCAAGGGCAGACTCGGCGAGTAGGGTTAGGGTTTCCCGTGAATCACTCAGTGAGTGACTTGCCGAGTTGGGGGAATGACTCAGTGAGTCAGAGGGGGAATAGAGGACTCGAGTTCACGACTGAACTCGCCGAGTCACATTTGTGCACTCGGCGAGTTTGGTTAAGAGTTGACCGTTGACTTTTGTTGACTTTTAGGGTTTGGTCAACAATGGAACTTGTGGACTGTTTGAAGGGTAAAATAGCCTTTTAGCCTTCTTAGAGGACATGTGAGAGTCTAGTCTAGCCTAGAGAGCCGTGATTGATGGAGATGATTATGTTATGTGTATAGGCAGAGGCTAGATCAGTATATACACAGGCGGGATATTATCTGAGACATCCGAGGTGAGTCTTCTCACTATACATTACCTAGAGTGGTATTTATGTGTAGACCAGAGGGTCTTGTATGCTATGTGTATGTATGAGATTATGTGCATTGTATAGACTGGACCGAAGGGTCCAACAATATAGACCGGACCGAAGGGTCCAACGATACAGACCGGACCGAAGGGTCCAACGATGCAGACCGGACCGAAGGGTCCAACGATATAGACCGGACCGAAGGGTCCAACGAGCTATGACCGGACCAGAGGGTCCAACGAGCTACGGGACTGGAGGGTCCCGCTGAGACACATCGGACCGGAGGGTCGTATTGTAGCCTCGAGTGGCGTATGTGTTGTATGTGGTATATTGGGGAACTCACTAAGCTTTTATGCTTACAGTTGTTGTGTGATGTGTTTCAGGTACTAGTGAGGATCGCGGGAAGGCGCCGGCATGATTCGTACACACGAGAGAGGATTTATTTATATGAGATATTGTGACATGTTTTGTGATGATACAGAGATTTATTATGATTTTGTGATTTTTATGTGGTGGAAAGTATGTTTTGAAATGAAAAATTGTTTTTGAAAAATTGGGTGTTACACCTAAATCTAGAAGTAATTCAGCGAAAATTGTTCAATTGGTATATGATCCCAAGATTTGAAGAGGTAAATAGATTCCATTACTCCCCATTGAGCAACGCCTCCATCTCATGGTCTATCTCTATCGATTTGCCTTAAATCAAACGCTTCCTCCCATCAAAATCGATTGCAAGAATCATCATCTCTCGAAATCAACAATGACAATCTACAAATTTTTATTCAAAATGCAAGAAATCATGAACAAGAACATCTTTCCGATCAACAAATAATCAATATCTACAAATCATGGGCTTCAATCGATTTATCTGGTAGCAGTTATCTCTATCAATGCTTTTCATCTATATAAACGTGAACGGTGCCCTAAATCGAAGCAATAATCTTTAT